TACAAGTCTGAACTGCTTTAGGTTTTCAAACAGGCAGCCCCAAATTCTTTTCTGCATGCTGCACGTAGTTTCTGTATATATCATACGCAAGTTGTCTCAGGTACTTCTTGCACACACTAAGCCTAAGGTTGCTCTTAGAAAAGCTCATCACAGACTAGGATGGCTTTATAGAATAGAATAGACTATTTCAGTTGGAAGGGACCTACAACGATCACGCAGTCCAACAGCCTGACCAATTCGGGGCTGACCAAAAGTTAAAGCACGTTGTTGAGGGCATTGTCCAAATGCCTCTTAAACACTGACAGGCTTGGGGCATCGACCACCTCTCTAGGAAGCCTGTTACAATATTTGACCACCCTCTTGGTAAAGAAATGCTTCGTAATGTCCAGTCTAAGCCTCCCCTGGCGCAGCTTTGAACCATTCCCACATGTCCTACCACTGGATACCAGGGAGAAGAGATCAGCACCTCTCTCTCTACTTCCCCTCCTCAGAAAGCTGTAGAGAGCAATGAGGTCCCCCCTCAGCCTCCTTTTCTCCAAACTAGGCAAGCCCAAAGTCCTTAGCCACTCCTCATAGGACATGCCTTCCAGCCCTTTCACCAGCTTTGTTGCCCTCCTCTAGACACATTCACGGACCTTCACATCCTTCTTAAATGGTGGGACCCAGAGCTGCACACAATACTCAAGGTGAGGCCGCATCAACGCTGAATACAGCGGGATAATCACCTCTTTTAACCAGCTGGTTACACTGTGTTTGGTGCACCCCAGGATGCGGTTTGCCCTCTTGGCTGCCAGGGCACACTGCTGACTCAGACTGAGCCTGTTGTCAGCCAGCACCCCCAGGTCCCTTCCTGCAGCGCTGCTCTCCAGCCACTCCTCTCCCAACTTATACTTGTATACTTTAAGCTTAGTACTTATCATGTCTCACTAGCCTTCAAGAAATATGAATTGAGCTTCTTCCTGGAATTAGACCAAAGGCTGCCCCCAAACAGAATGGATTAATCAGATTAGGAAGTTGGAGCAGTTGGATGTGAATGGACGTGTTGTCCTTCAGAGTCCTTCCACAACAGCAAGAAGTTTGCCTTAGACATAATAGCCTGACACAACACTAAGGCTCAGAAAGCCCAGCAAGCCCAGCTATATTTGTAAATACACAGTAACAGATCAAAAGGGGATTTCAACTTATTATTATTAGGCCTTTATAAAATTAAATATGGGTTTTGTTTTGCTACTTGACAAAGAAATTCACCAGGATTCTCAGTGGTATGTTTCAAGATCTACACATTATTAGCTCTTCTAGAATTGCATGCAGAGACTGATAACACCCTTGGTTACAACAGATACATTTGAAATTTAATCTGAGGTAAACAGTGTATCAGCTTTACTTTTTAAAGATGAGAAGACCTTTTGTAAGAAGGCAGCAAAGCACAAGTTTTAAGTGTCCTGCTTAATCTTTAAATCTTGTGGGTTTTTTTAATCAGTACAGGTACAGTGCAGCAATAAATAAAATCAGTGTCTCTTCTCATCTACGTCCTAAGACTGCAGTTTCTTATAATTAATATTTTATAAATTGTGAAGATACGTTTTTAAAGCAATTTGATCCAAGTCTTCTTCTGGGCATCTGTGGAACAGGTTTTCAACAACTTTTTTCTTTCTTGAAAAGCACGTTCCTTTGAAATGAACTTTTTCTTAGAAAAAGGTATCTTTCTCCATTTTCAGGACTGTACTTGGATGCTGTGATACGTCTTGTCACATCAGGTCAGCCATATTCCATTAACTTGCATTTTATAATGTAAAATGAATGTGTACTTCCTTTTGGATTACAAAAGGAAGACAATACAACACAGTTGCAATGCTATTGCCTGCAATGAGATAACATTTGTAATCCCAGGGATAACATTACCTGCTAGGGGCATGTAACCTCCTCTCATTTCTGTATTGATCATACAGGATTTTTATTTGCCTTCCTATCTGTTTCATACAGAATTTGCAGTGACTCCTTCCTGGATTCCATGGGAACTAGTGGCAAAAGCTCATTCATAACCACTGACAATTTGGACTACTGCCTCAAAACCAAAGAGGGTTGCAAAAGCTCATTTTTAAACAGTAACAATGTGGATAACTGCCTCAAAAACCGAAAGGGCAGAAAGGTTTTCATAAGATCACGGAAGGGACAGATAGGAGACCAGTGAGTTAATCTGATCAGTAACTTAGATGTTTATACACTATTCCAAGAAGCAAAGGATAACAAACACACAGAGCTACATTATTAATATAAGAAGGAATGGCGTGTTCAGGAAGGACAGGTGGGGAATGCAATTCAAAAAGAACAGATGAAAAATCCTGTATTTTAAAGGAATGATCAAGTGCACAGACATGATATGAGACTGTCTAAATTGGCAGCAGTACAGAAAAGCAATGCAGAAAAAGATCTGGATGTTAGTGTGTATCTCATGATAAATGTAGTTCAACAGTGTCATGATGGCGGAGGGGGGGAGAGAGAAAAAGAGTAACACAAAAGGAAGCCCTGAAAGGAGTACTGTCTCTGAGATACATGAAGCCATTATTTTGATTTCTACAGCACAGCACTCAGATGCAGTGCAGTACGCAGTCTGGCATTTCAAAGAAGATGGGCACCGATTAGAAAGGTTCCAGAGAAAAATGATGAACAGGATCTGAGAGTAGAAAATTCAAGGGAAAAAGGATTATTTAGTTAAGCAGGGAGGAAAGCAAAGACAAATATAGCAGCCATCTTCAAACACAGAAGGACAGATAAAAAGGAGAACTTCCTCCTATCCATTAGAAACAGATAAAGGAGTAATGGATTAGGTGATACAAAGGCTGATTTAGGTTAGACAAAAAACGAAAAATAAGACTATTTAAGCTCTGAAATAGAATGCTTGGGGAAGTTGTGAAACCACTATCCACAGGAACTGCATAGGTATAGCTGATTCTGCCTTCAGACAGGGAGAATGGACCAGGTAACTGACTGCTCAAAGACCTTTCTTGCCCTGTTTCTATGATTTCTATGATTCTGCTCTGCCTCTAGCTCCCTCAAGAATGGGAATGAAATGTGACATAGCTCTGTCCTTACATGCAATGGCAGGCAAAAGTGACAAGTAATACATATATAAGGGCAAAAGATAGAAAGCTACACAAAGAAATACAGTAACTAATACAGTCAATCTCTCCAAACACCCACTTCTTCCCTCCCATCAATACCTCTAGTATTTATAAATTATCTGATAATTTAACATAAGTCTCAATCTCTTGACTGAATATCAGCGCAATCCTGCATATTCCTTGAGCAGACAATATATAAAGGAAGACAGATCGGCCTTTTTAATTGAATTTAAAACTTGTTTTAAGTTAATGAAATTCATGAAAATAAACATTTCAAGTCATTTATTTTTCCTATCCGTAACAAAATAAACCTCAAAAACGTAAGATATTCCAAATACTCTCCTTCAACCCTTTCAATTTCTAGTAGACTTGAAAGGACCTATCATGGTAGAAATAAAGGGAATACCTCTGATAAAGTTACAGATTTTAATGTTACAACAAAATATTGCAACCACTTCATCTTATCTAACACATGCAATTTCCCCCTACTGTAAGTAATATCAGAGGTACCAGAATCCTTAGCTCTGTGTCCCACCGATTTATTTTTCCATTAACGAGAAAAACTGCATCTTGGTTTCAGTTAGACTGTTTTACTTTAATCATGCATTTCACTGTGATCATTTCCAGACCACGATTCTGCAGCTTTAGTAGGTAGGTAGATTTGGGCACTCAAGCATCAGAGACAAAAGTATGGTATAAATCATCCACAGCCACATCCCTTCCCTTTTTCCTAGATGAGACCAATATGTATTACATATATTACATGTATGTAATATGAATGTATCTAAAGGCATGACACAGACCCTTGATGTTTGTCAAACATAAATGAGAAATTCACTTATTCTGTCATAAGGATTTTAAAATACAAAAAAACCCACAGAAAAATCATAGCTTTGACTAAGTCCCCCGCAAATTTGGCCTCAGAAAAAGGGAACCTACAAACTGTATTTTTCAATTTAAATTAACATTGTGCACTTTAAAGGATTTTTGTTCCAGGAATTTAAAAAATGGCTCTTCCATTCCTTGCTGAAACTTCTTATCCATCTCATTATAAATCAAGAATATGCTTCATATTCAAACTATAGCATAAAAAAAAGTTATGCCTAGAACATTTGCCATTTATCTTTTCCTCCTAATACATTTCAGAATTATTTAAGTACACTCATTCTTAATAAAGTTTCTCATTGTATTACTTAAAAGAAAAATTATTTAGCATTAAAATTGAGTTATTCTTTTCAAGATCTTGCAAGCATTAATTGATCCTCATAACGGTCACATAAGGTAAGAAGGTACTATTATCCCAGTTCTATCCAGAGGAAAAACTGAGGTAAGGAAGTTTAACCACTTGCCCAGTGTCACATCTTGTCTCACTCAGGCCTGAAATCAGACCATGATTCTGTATCTCGGGCATACCATTTAATTTTAAAAGTCTTTGTAGGATTTAGGCATGTCTCTCAAAGCAACTGTCTTACCATTTCTTTGGGAGATTAAGTTGTATCAGAAAGTGCTAGATCTGTGCTTCCTGGAAGCCTACGTATGACTACATATTTGCCTTTAAAACATTTTGAAACACAGAGAAAAACCAAAAAAGTCAGTAGATACTTTATGTATCATCACATCCAAAACAATTACCTAACAAGCTGTCACGTGCAGATTTACAGTGACACAAGAAAAATTAAAGTTGTCTTGAACATTTTTGACAGTGCAGTATCTTTGCTTAACCGGTCCTATGATGGAGAATGTTAAAAGTACCCTAGAGAAATATAAAATTGTGTCGGCACAGCTGATTTTGAAGTGTTTTCTCCGTCTGTTGTTTTTCTATTCCAGTTCCCTCACTTCCTCTACATCTGTCATGGTTAAAACAAATGTAAGACATACCTTAATTGTACTAGTGTGTGCACCAGGATACTCTTTTTCCTCCAGTGTTGACCAGCGTTGTATAAATTTTGACACCAGAGGATCATCATAGTCAACTATCTGAAATCCTGAGACGTTGGCTCCTCCAAACTGAATTTTTGACAAATCTCCATCAGTAAATCCCTGGGCACAGAAAACATTATGTCTGTTATTCCAACAGTTTTGGCAGATCTCTCAATAGTATATACAAATAGAGTTACCATATGACTTCTACTGCAGAAGCGTAAGCCAACATTTTCCTCAAACAGGATCCAAGTTTAAATTCTGGGCTGCCAGGATTAAGTCGTCAGCTCTGCCAGCCAGCAATGCCTCTTGTTGCTCACTAGACATACACCTTTACAGAGCAAGGGCTGAGTGGACCTGCCCATGCCATGCTTACCTTCCTAAACAATCCTGTTAATTTCAATGGGACTGCTAAAATGAGAAAGGGAACACTGACATGAATAGCAGTTAGGCAAGCAAGTTTTAGGCAGGAACAGTTACAGCCACAGTTGAGTCCTCTTTTTGCTAGGAACACTAAGGCATGTGGAAGGACTTACCATCTCCCCTGCCTCCTCCCTCCGGTATAAAGAACTACTTCTCATTCTTACAAACAGTACGCATGTTTTGTTTTCCATGTTCTGTGCTTTAACTTGCCCCAAATAACCATACAAGTGAATTTACTGATTTCAGACACTTCAGTTTAAATGAATGCTCTGAGTAAGCAAAAAAAGAAGTAGCAACCTCAGACCACATCATCAGAAGTTCCTACAATTGCTGTACTAGGTACTCTTGAAGTACTGCATGTTAATGCTACTCATCAATGATGTGTTGCTGCATGCTAATACAGACACTTCTACAGGGATCATGAAACTTTCTTCAATATTATTGTGTGCTTGAAGTTTGAACAGGAACGTTCATTGTATACTTCGACCCCCTCTCCATCTATCAGTATATTTTATTCTTAAAATACATCAATTTCTTGACTGATCAGACGGGAAGAGACCATTATTACAGTGAAGAAAAGAAGAAAGAAGGTGGATTCAGTGAAGAAGATGGGATATGATCAAGTATTAGATAAGTTTTCTTTCTGACAGAGAAAAACACAGTTTTAAAATCATTAACATATACATTTTATATGATATTATACAAAAGATCTACAGTATTTGCATTTAAACTGTATAAATCTGTAGGAATATGATATTAAACAGCTTTAAAATACAAGATTCAATAAGTTTTAGATCTTATGGGCTTACTGTTACAAACTTAAAGCAATGGCTAAAATAGCAAGCAGTCAATATAATGAAATACACTAGGCAATTTTTCTAAAACGTTTATTTCCATAAAGACTCAAAATACTATTTATACAACATTTGCAATGCAAAATACAAATGTCTAACAGTTAGGGAATTTTTGAAGTTTTGTAAGACTTTTATGCTTGCTTTGTGAACATCAGTACCCTAACTTCTTTACCCTAAAAATGAGTTAATAAATATAAAAAAGAAACCCCATTGTTGTGCTTTTAAAGAGGCCTTTAAACTATAAGGCTTCCTCACACCTGTCTAGTGACATACATGATTCTTCAGAATACTGCCCAGCTGGAGGGGGGAAGTGTTTTGATCAAAGGTTGGGAGAAGACAGGGGTTATGTCTGAAGTGTGATAGACACGCTATGGTCGTTCTGTTTCCTCAGGCCCCTCAAAGGACTATGGAAGACAGAGTGTAAATTAGAGCACTCTGGGCCCTGCTGGAATTCATGTCAAATGCTATCACAGCCCAAGAATAAATTATGAAAAAAATGATTTAGAAGCACTCACACCATGCAAACCCCAAAACTCTTTTCTGGAACAGAATAACTGAGATTCAAGCCTGCAGAATTTGCTTTATCTGTTAACAAAAAAAATTGGATTAGATTCCCTAGCTTCAGTAAATAAGTGGTGTTGACTTTAATGTCAGTAAAATGGCCCTTCATCTTTAGACACAAATTCAAAAAAATTAGTTTGACAGAATTTAGTGAGTTCCTTGAACTTTCTCCCTTAGGAACACTATTAGCTATACTGTCTGATCACCTACGTTCAAGAAAAGATTAATTCAAACTGATTACCAAGACAATCTCAGGAATGAAGATGTGTGTCCTGGTTTCAGCTGGGATAGAGTTAAATTTCTTCCTAGTGCTGTGTTTTGGATTTAGTACGAGAAGAATGTTGATAACACACTGATGTTTTCAGTTGTTGCTAAGTACCTTGTCAAGGACAACTATCCTCTGCTAGACTGGGAGGGAGCATAGCCGGGACAGCTGGCCCAGCTAGCCAACAGGGTATTCCATATCATGTGACATCATGCTCAGTATATGAATGGTAAGCGTGTTCCAAGAAGTATCGATCATTACTTGGTATCGGTCAGCGCGGGTGGTGAGCAA